GAAAGGAAAGAGGGAGAGGAAGGGAGACTAATGTGGGTCCCAATTGGGTCTCATGCACCTCTCATATCCAGTTTATATTACTAAAAATAGTGAAAGGGTAAAACTGCCCATACAGACTAAAATAGGACATATAATAACTTAAAATAAATTAGAAATAAGGATTAGAAAAAAGGACTTTAACCCCCAACTTTATCTCAGGTACCCAATCCTTGATTTCCTTAAATTGATGATTCTTGACTCTCCTTCAGAGAATCTTCTCTGAAATATCTTGAAACTATATATGCTTCCTAAGACAACGTCTTCCTGTAAAATATAAACTGCTTAGGCACTTCGTATGACATGGCAGCTGGAGATCGGGAAACATGGGGTTACAAAGAGGCAAATATGACCTTGATCGTTTGCAAATTGTCTTCTTTCCGCCGAACAATTTACTTCAAAGTTCATGTAATTGGGAATCATCATGAAAACTGCATCGAAAGAAACTTTTGAGGCCTAACTAGATTGTTTTGTGATGAAAAAATCCATGAGTTGTGATGTTTTCCATTGAGTCTGGGAATGTTAATATGAAAGTTTGACATGGATGAAAACTTTTGAAGTATAGATTGTTGGGCATAAAAAGGGATCTTAAACATATAAAAATGAAGGGACTACAAGAACTCTTTCCTGATTATATCTTTGGGAACACTCTAGCAAGATTAAAATTCTATAATGATGAACTCAGCGATACCGTGCAATATGTTCTTGAAAATACTGATGAATGCTGGAAAATTAGAGGATATATGGTTTAAATTTGGTCTCTGCATTTTTCTGTAATCGAAGTGTGTTCGCTAGGGGTTTAGCTGTTTCTTTATTCAGGTTGTAAATGGAGGATGAAAAATGGGTGGGCAAATGCTAAGAGCAAAGTTGGATTAACACATGTCACTTGTGCTCATATCACGTTTGCATAGTAGAACCCCTATAATATAGGAAGAGGACCGGGAAGGAATTTTCTTTGGATCCTTTGAAGTCCTCCAAATACTACAGTGAGGGTTTCATGAATTCGGCAAAACCTTGCCCTGTGGTTCAATTTTCTGTACTGCCTTGTAATCTCCTAAGTCATGTCAAAATTATGGCATTGAAGTTTTAATAATTGAAACAAATTCCTTCGTCTCACTGAGAGACGGTATTACAGGGATGGTTGTATCTTGGGCCCTGAATTGTCTGGAGTTTGCAAGTTTTAGGGCAGTGTATTTGTTGAGTGGCTGGTATCATGTGGCCAGTTCCATGTTGTCTATGCAGAGAAAGGTCATATCATGTCAGAGATCAGTTGAGGGGTACTTCAAACTGAAGTTTGATGGAAGTGCTCAAGGAACCGGGGTTAGCAGTTATTGGTGGTATTCTTAGATATTCACATGAGGACACTATGTTCAAGGCCCCGTTGGGTGTTAGCAATGGGACCGTGGCAGAGGTGTGAGCATCACTCGCCTGGATCCAAATTTTAACTGCTGGCCCTAAATTTCCTTTGGAAATTGAGGTTGATAGCATAACAATATTAGATGGGTCTGAAGGAAGCACTAGCCTGGGAGTGTTGCTCCTTTGAGAGAGAGAGCGATATGGAAATTCTGTATATTCACGATCATTTCTTTCAGCCATATCCTTCATGAGGCAAATGAGGTTGATGTGCTTGCAAAGAAGGAGCTTAACCTAGAGGATTTAGCTATCTCTTTTGATCATGATGTTTCTATTTTATGATGACACCCCATTTTCTCTTTTCTTGTTTTGTCCTTAAGCATTTAATAATTTATAAAACTGTCACCTCTTTCTAGAAAATAATTGGACTTATGGATTGAACATGAGATTATAAAATAGTAATTTCTCCTCAAATACAAATGCGTGAAGCAAGATATAATCTGATGCACGGAGAAGGGGAAAGAGAATAAATAAATAAGGAAATAAAAGATAAAAATAAAAGATGAGGGATTATACCCTCTCTCAGAGTTTGAAAGGGAGTCCACCCCGAAAAGATCTTTTCACAACATCCAAAATAAACTTTTCTTCTTGTCCCTCTCCTATTTTTTGTTCAGTTACATATTTATATAAAAAAAAAAAACTCTAAACCTTAACTTGCTCCTTAAATTAATATTAAATCTTCCAATTTTGCCCCTCAAATCTTTGCAACAAAAAAAAGACCCAAATACCTTTAAAGAAATTATAAATCCAAAATAACCTCAAACACTATTTTTTATCTCTTAAAAAATAACAAAATAAAAAAAATAAAACCATATTTGTATCATTTTTTCGGGGTTGAGAGAAGCTCGACCTCGAGCTTGTTGAGTCCATCATGTCCTTTTAGAGGCCTTTTCAATAATTGGTGATGGATTCGAGTCCCACCATTTACCTTGATACCTAGTCTTCTTATATGAAACAATTGATCAAACACTTTATTGGCAACTTGTAGTTGAACTTTAGGATCCTGGATATTATTTTAATTTCTCTTTCGTTGTTATGAAACTCTAAAAGACCGACCTTGATATCCTGATCACCTGGATGTTCCTAGGTTGTGGTTCTTGTATCAAAATTTGCTCATTACATATGGATTAACATTCGAAGTCGATTGTGGAGGTAGATTTATTTCTCATGTGAAAGTTGGCGCCGTATCTATGTGATTGCGAATATCCTCTTCTCCATGAATGGTGCTTTCCACAGTTGCAACTATTGATTCACTACACCGGTCTCTACTCAAATACCCTCCATGTATTGATTTAGGCTCTTTATGCTCTTTGCAAATTGTTGTTTCACAACTTCTATAATTTGTGGCAATAAATGATCTATCATAGGTGAAGGTTTTGGTGGTATTGTGACGGATGGATCTTGTAAAGCTCTGATACCACTTGTTGTAGAGTGAAGCTTTGATACTAATTGATATAGGGAGAATGGAAAGAGAATAAATAAATGAGAAAATAAATGATAAAAATAAGAAATTAGAGATTATAACCCCTCCCAAGATCTGCAAAGGAGTCCACCCCCAAGAAGATCTCTTCACAAGATCCAAAATAAACTTTTCTTCTCTTCCCTCTCTTCTCCTTTTTGTCTAGTTAATTATTTATAGAAAAAACAACTCTGAACCCTAAATTGCTCCCTAAGAAAGCCTAATTAATATTTAATCTTTCAGTTCTGCATCCAAGCTCTACAATTAAAATAGACACAAATACCCCTAAAGAAAACTAGAAACCCAAAATAACACCAAATCCTTTTTTTATCTCATAATTTTTTTTTAAAAAAATAAAAACCTTGTTTGCATCACAATCACTAACCACAAATGAAATGCAAAAAAAATAAAAACTCTGTTTGCATTGCAATCGCTAACCACAAATGAAGTTATGCAAAACTGGTGATCTTTGGAGGCCTAAAATTCTTACTATTACTAATCCTTAATTTTAAATGGTCATGAACTTGTTCAATTAGTCACAAGCAGCTAAAACTTGGTCATTTACATGACTTATGTTTGATGTGCTAGTTTAAGTGAGGGTGGAACACAAAGCACTGAAGCCTCTTTAGCTATCAAGGAGAGAACTTATAAATCAACTAGGAATACTTGATGTTAATGTGGATTTAGGCTAGTTATGTAGGTGACTGGTTGGTCTAAGAAGGGTGAGGACCTTAAGCTCTACCTTAACTCGTCCCAAGCTTGAGAAAAGGTGGTGAGTTGTTTTAGGTAGGCAGCCAATGTAAAACTATACTAAACCTTCTCATGAATTCTTAAGGCACGATATCTAAAAGATGTCGTGCATAGAATTAGAGCTGAGGGGGCAAAGTGGAGATGTGTAACTGGAGTTTTATGTGATCGCTGCATATCAATGAAGTTGAAGGGTATGTTTTATAGGACAACTAGGAGACCAGCTTTGCTTTATGGGACAGAATGTCAGGCAGCCAAAAAACACCATATCCAAATGATGATTGTAGTTGAGATGAGGATGTTGAGATGGATGGGTGGCAAGACAAGAAGGGATAGAAGTCAAAATGAATACATTTGAGAGAACTTAGGTGTGACACCGATAGGTTATAAGATGAGAGAAAATAGACTTAGGTGGGCTGGCCATGTGCAGTGTACACCCAGTACAACACATGTTAGGAGGTGCGAGTTAGTTCAAGTGGAAGACGCAAAAAGGGGAAGGGGTATGCCCAAAAGGACATGGTGGGAAGTATTAAAAAGGATATGGTGACTTATGGCCTTACTGAGGGTATAACCCTCAATAGAGCAGAATGATGGACCTAGGTTTGTGTAGCCAAAAAGTTGGGAAAAGGATTTTGATGATGATGATGATGATGTGGGGGACTGGTTGTGGGTGATAGAGTCTTCATACACGGGAACTAATGGACTCATATTGTTTGCCATAAAAATAGTCTGATAACTATTGAACATACATTGTACGTACTATGTGTTGGCTGCAAGCAATAGATAGATCAGCTACTCCTAGAGAGGATTATAAATATGTTACTTAAGAAGAAATGAGTCAGTGTTATTTGTTGCCTTTTTTATCTATATCAACAACATAATGCTTGACTAGCGAGCTCTAGGACAAGGGACATGGGAGTGACCATTGGAGAGAAGATAAGATATTTGGTGTTAGTGAATGGAGATAGATAAGAACTCATGTGTATGCCTGGAGAAGATTATGTTTTTTTATGCCCTTTTAAGTTTCTTCCAGGTTGGGCCCCCTTTATGTTTTCTTTTAACTACATTGATGCCTTGGTTCTTTCTTATTTATACATTTCTTAAGGAAAACCGGGTTAGAGAGGAAGGAGAAGGGATTTTCATGAGAAGAGGAATGCAACTGAAAGGGTAACAGGGAAGAGGTAGATTGGTAACAAATATACACTGTAACTGTTAACACTTGAGCGTACTCCTGCTTGCCATCATCATTTCTCAGTAGTAATTATAATTTTTCTATTTGTAAAGTTATAGGATAAAAGGAGCTTATTCTGTCACCAAATAATTCTCACCTTTTTGCACTGTACAGGACTCACAGGAAAACAAATTTTGTTGTTCCTGTTGGTATTGGAAGGGGCAATCCTCTCCCCTTGGGCGTTTCCTTGAATGATGATGGCTCAACAAACTTTTCTCTCTTTTCACGCAATGCCGAAAATGTGGTCTTGTGTTTATATGATGAGAATACTGCTAAACCTGCTGTAAGATCTTTAAGTTTCTTTATTTTTCTTGTTTTCTAATTTGAGCAGGCATGATGGGCTTGCACACAATTGTAATTCTGAGCTAGATAGTACCACTTGTGTTTACCAAGCCTCACTAGTTCTTTCTTTCATATGCGGTAGTTCTTGTATACACGTGCAGATGTACCTGTGTGCTCTATCCTCTAGTAGTGGTGAATTCCTTACTTTGCTCATGAATTTGTTTAATATGCTTATAGTTGATTCTTGACCTGTGCATTCTTCTTTGAATGCAGTTAGAGATTGAATTGGACCCATATATTAATCGAAGTGGTGATATGTGGCATGTATCTTTATCAAGTGTCCGACAATACTTGAGTTATGGATTTCGGTGCAAGGTATGGAAAACGTGTGATGTAATTCTTTTTCCCTATAAGTCTTTTTATGTTTAAAATCTGCTCTTGGAATTGATCATATTATTTTCGTTGATAGCCTCAATATGATGTTTATTGTCATTTACTTGGCAGTTGATTAGCTAACTTAGCGGAAAGAACCATTTGGGCGCTTATAAAAGTCAAGGCTTCACAAATAGCTATAGAAACGTTTCTTGAAATATAATCTCAATTGGATGATCTAGAAGCAGCGGATAATATTATGTATATTAGTCATGTTTGTGCGACCGTTGCATCCAAAGGCACGTCTGTGTTAGGGAATCCGCCTTGTAATTAGTTTGTTTGAGCGTAAGAAATTACACTTTGTCGCTTCTTCTGAAAGTCTTCTTCACGATATTAACTATTCTCCGGGGATAATCCATCTCACTTTACGGTCTATATTGCTAAGAAAGATAAAATACCTTCCGTATTCAAGGGAACTAAGAAAAGTGAAATATTGAAGTCCTCCCAGAGGGACTCTTGCTATTGTCTCAATAGGATTCTGCACACCAACAGGCCTGCAAAGGTCTTGAAAAAAGGCAGGCCATTTCTAACTAAACCACCCACATAGAAGTTAAAATACAACAGTCTAGTGTATAAGAGATGAAGAAGAGTGAGGAAGATTAAGGCCTAGGAAAAGAAAGAGTTTTAAAGATAGAAGGGTGAGAGAGAGACCCACGTTGGGGAGAGAATTAGGGAGAGGGGTCATGTTGATTTCATAATAACCCCAACACCTCACTTAAATCTCCTTCTATAATAATAAAACATTTTCAATCCCACATCACAGTGAAACTGACAAGGGACTGATGGCTTTCTTCTTACCTGACTGAAAAAGTAAAACCTATTAAAGTACGATACTGCCCTTGAGTAAGGTAAAAGACAAAGAAATCCCTATGGACTTGAATACAAGAAAAATAAATCTGGACTTTGGTATTCACATCACTTCCATATCGGTCATGCCCAGCTTGCTTAAGATCACTTGTAGTCAAGATTTCCCAATAACCATGGTAAGAATGTCTGCTGGTGAATACAGTGGCTATGTAAGATTCCTGGGATGTAAATGAAAGTATATGGAACCGAGCCTAAGGTACACCACTTGATACTTTCCCTTAAACTTTGTTTTTTTGGGGGGAAGGTCAGTGGGGATGACGAGCTCATGCCCACTTTTGAAATAGTCAATTTTTGAAGCCGTTAGTGAGAATGGAGGTCAAAACCTTTAACTGGGGCTCAGGTGGTAATGCCACCACAATCCCACCCCATTACTGACTTTCACTTAGACTTGACAATACAACTTCAAATTTACAATGAATTGCAAGACACAGCATTTTTCCCTCAATTACAGCCACATAAAACCAAGTTGCAGTCATTTAAAATCCATCCATGCACTCTTAAAACCAAGGATTACAACGCAAATTGGGTCCCTCATCAAAAATCCAACTAAACTATGTTTGGAGATTGAGTATACAACACGAAACTAGTGCTTACAAACTTTCAGCACCATACAAAATTATAAGGCAAACTTATACATGAATTTCAGTTACAAGAATCAATGTTCGCGTAATAAAAAAAACATCATGGGAAGCGTTTTGGAGCTCTTATAACCCGGATTACCACCAAGGTCTTATCAATATACGATATTGACATTATGGCAATTCACAACTTATGGCCAATTTCACTTCATCATCATAAAGGGAAGCATAAAATGTCTTAGATCCACACTCGAGTCGCTCTTTAATGAAGAGGACCTCAAAAAAATGGGATCTAATTGTCGGAAAAATCGTGGGGGAAATGGAGGCTTAATGGGTAGAAAATTAAGAGGCATTGGGTGGGAAAGATTTGACATAGTTTCCCCTTGTAAGGTCTCCAATTTAAGCCATCAATAAGGTTGTTTAATAGACTGTTTTTTATCCTAAAATTCTCTAAACAAGCAGTCAATTAAATCCTAGAAATCTCAATGAAAAAATCCACCAAAATCAACTCAATCAACTATAGATCGTAAGCTTAAACTCATAGATGAAACTTAGCTCAATTTCTCATCAATCAAGGAGCTACGAGATGATAATACCTTGCTGTAATTTGTGATTTACAGCCATGATTGCTTCAAACTTGAATTAATTTGAAGAAGATCTCGCACAATTTGAACATTGTGAAGCTTTATATCACCCTCAAGCTTGGAGTGGAGCTTTAATGGAGCTATTAACTTAATTCTCTCACTAAGATCATCTCACTTTATCTCACTAAATAATACATTTTAAAGCACAAGAGAGAGAAAAGAAACCCTAGGCTAGGGCATGCCACTCTAGTGAGAGAAAAGGGTTGAGCGAAATGGGCAAATGAGGGGGTATTTCTGAGCATGAATGTAGGGATGCTTCTAGTTGAGTTAATCTGAGCCATCCATGTCAATCATCTATCATATAAGAGTGAGGCTTGATCCTAGCCACTTATCACTCATCGTGCCATTTTGATGAGTGGATGAGATTTAACACCCTTATGATAATCATCATCATCATCATTTTAGCCTTTTCCCTATTAATTGGGGTCGGCTACCCTTATCCTCCCATAACAACCTTAATTCACTCCAAATTTCCCTTCATTAAATACAAATTCAAGTTAACATTAAATTCAACTTGCTTCAACAATTGCCCATGTTTAATCAATTTTAATCAAATGAAAAATCATAGATAGGGGCTTGCCCTTATGGTATTTTAGCACAAATTCTAGAAGCAATTTGAATTTGATTTTCCCTTCAATTTTGGCTTACATGTAAATTTAATCACACGATGCCATAGAGGTAGGTTGTTATGGCACAATTACATAAGGCCTTAGGATTTCAATCATAATTGCAAACCCTATGCCCAGCTTTGCTCATGTGTACTCAACCAACAATCCTACACATTAAACAAGTGTTCTAATTTTTTATACCTTAATGAGCACATTATGCACAAATAATTAAATGGCAAATAGGTCCCCTACAGGGTTGATATCACCCCTAAGTCATCCGGATCACACATGGGCCCATATGGCACCCATTGGCCACTTGGGTATTACATGTGGGACCCTTGTTGCTTGTCCTTTGTCATTTCACTAAAACAATGCCAAAAAATGCAATTTTTGGCTCATAAAAATTTAAAAAAATCTCCAAAAATTTCCAAAAATTCACCAAAGCTTACTCCATTAGAATAATACATTTTGGCATCAAGAATATTAATAAAGGAAACTAGGATCCTATAGAGTTGGATTAGTTATTGGAGCACTCCACTAGGCTAGACCCAAAATCCGAAGTCACCTTTTCATAATGATCCAACATGACCCCTAGTGCTAAGTAGGAGCTTGTGCTTTGGCTTACTAAAGTCAAACCAATGTGTGGCTTGGGATTCCCAGGTTGTAGTAGATTACATGCGCACCCTCGAGGACATGCATCCAAACAGATGCGGGTCCTCTCTTGGCACTTGTGCATATCTCGTTACACTGGATCAGCTGGAAGAGTGACTTCGCACATGGTATGAGAAGATCACTAGATCTGGGATTTACGATTATGTTCTCTCAAAGCCTCAACGTCCTCATATAGGGCTAAAATGCACACACATAAGAAAAAGTATACAAAAAAAAACACTTCGAGCTCATATCACAATCAATCATACACACATAATGTCCTAGCGATTTCACAGTCATGGGGAATAAATCATAACTAGACCTTGACTGATCATTACCAACCTTGACTAGAGGTAATCCTCAACCCTCTCGGTGCTTCTCACATATATACCGGCCACATAACTCTCGGGATGCATGATTCTTGGTCCTAGTGTGCCAAGATCCTAGAGTCATCTCGCTCTTTTCCTCTCACTGAAGTCAAAAGCTATGAAATGTCAGGGTTTTAAGATCTTGAAGGCAATAACTCCAACAGCAAATGCAAAACTATGTACTATGTCATATTATACTGCGGAAGCAGTCGGAAAATAACACCTAAATACAACTTATGGATCTTAACTCTTACTGCCTTAAAAGAAAAAAAAAAACTTTATTCATAAATTGAGTTCAAGTACAAGTGGAATTTTAAGTCAAGTAGGAATCCTAATCTAAATAGAAATCCTAATACAAATAGGAATTAAGAACAACGTACTAAGAATTAAAACTGAAAAGAAACATGAAAAGCTAGGAAGACTCATTTGAACTTTGCCTAGGGTCACCACCGTAGGATGTAACACCAATCCATAGCCGATTATTAGACTGATAGCAAACTAATCCTTGGCCCTGCTTGAGTCCTTCAAATCTAGGAAGCACTTAGAGTAATACCCCTCTCACAGAATTGGGGCTGAGTGCATGAGCAAAGTAGGGTTTCTTTTCAACCCTAAAAGCCTGGAACCACCATAGTAAACTGGGCTGGACGTGCCTCCTTCTAGGCTAGTGAGGGTGGCATGCCACCCTCTTATGGCCTTGCCTTACTTTGTGGGCCATCACTTATCCTAAGAGAGAAGAGGCTAGAGAGAGAGAGAGAGAGAGAGAGAGAGAGAGAGAGAGAGAGAGAGAGAGAGAGAGAGAGA